CTTGACATATATTATCTAACCCTTGCTCATTGTCTTCTTCTGGAACTCCTATGATGTGGATGTTGTTATGTTTCATATTTTCACACAGATCTCTTATGCTGTCTGCTTGTTTTTTAATTGTTTTTTCTCTTTGGTTCTCTGATTGGGTGATTTTTTTCTACCTTGTCTTCTAATTTACTGTTCTGTTCCTTGGTCTCCTCTACTCTGCTGGTTATTCCTTCTAATGTGTTCTTTATTTTTACTATGTCAGTCTTCATTTCCAGTTGATGGTTTTTTATTTCCAATTGGTTGATTTTCAACATTTCTATATGTTTACTTATGCTGTTGAACTTCCTCCTAATCATTACTCTGAGCTCTGCTTCTGATATCTTGCTTCATTGCATTTCATTTATTTCATCTTCTGTAGAATTCTCTTGTTTCTTCATTTGGGATCTGTTTCTTATTTTTACTATTTTGGTTGTCTCTATGGGTTTTGGAGCCTTCCAAAGTTTTCCTGTGGGTGTTGATGTTCTGCTGATTGTGGCTTCCTCTGCTGGGTTTGGATGAGTGTAGGAGGACCAATGTTAAACACCACTGTCAAATCTTACTTTCTTGGGTTGATTTGCATGCCATGCAAAGTTTCAGTTATCCTGTAGCTTTGTTTGTATGCCATTATTCTCAGTTACTTGATGAGCCTTGGGTTGTAGCCCTCCACTGAATGAAAATCTTTCAGGTGTACAGAGTAAGAAGATTTCCAGTGGGTGGGTTAATTGCTTGCTGGAAGTCTATAGCTGTTAATGAGCCTCAATTTGCATTTCTCTTGCCAGGCCTGGTGGTGTTAAATTCCTGAGGGAGGGGCTGTTGCTTTTTCCAGGGGCTCTTAGAGTATTGGTCACTGTCCCATGAGGGAGTGATTCAGCACAAAACTCCTGCTATTTTCCTCCTAGTCCTCTCCTGAGCCAGGAGCCCCAGACTCTCTCTGCACAGTTCCATTCCAGTCTGCCCTCTCTCTGCAGGAGCCCAAGGTGAGTGGCTCTAACTGATTTAGTGCTCTGGCCTTTCAGGGAACTGACTGCTCACAGCTAAAACAGCCCTCATCTGCTGTTCATGGGCTTTCATTCCACCCTCTGACACCTCCACAGTTCCTATCAGGCTCAATTTGTTATCCCCTTTCTGGCTCTGGTTATATGGGTTTTCTCCAGCTGCTTTCCAGTTGTTTTTTCCCCCCAATGATTTGTCTTTATTTTAATTTCAGTTTGGTCCTGGGAGATGGTCTGTGTGGCTTCCATTCACTCCGTCACCATTTTTCTCTCTTATTTTACTTTATGTCCAATGGATACAAGTTTATTGTGTCACTTGGAAGTACCCTGCAGGTGTCCGGGTTCGGATGGGGTTTCCAAGCTTTCTGTTATGTTAGAAATGCTGGGTTGTTTTTGCTTCTGTTCTCTTTTTCAGATTCTTCCTTCTATTCTTTTTTCTTAATTAGACAGGTACAGTGCATTGCCAGGAATGAAGCAATAGGCAAAGGATCAGTCTCCCAATCTGAATCCCAGTGGTTGTCACTCAAGTTTTTGCTAGTTCTCATTTTCCTGTTTACCAGGCAGGGAAGACCAGGAGGTGGTGCCATTTTTAGTCCCCAGTGCTCTTCCTGGGTGGACCCATTTGAAGGCACACATCCTCTTGCTGTCTCTGTATAGAGGGGCCACCTGCAACACAAAAGGGGTGTGTGGGTGAGTGTGTATGTGAGGTTTTCTAGAGCTACCAGCTGGTCCCAGCTGGCCACCCCTATCCTACACACACCCCTTTGGGGCACTTAGCCCCTCTGCCAACTGAGCACTTCACTGGGGGGCTTGTCCGCTTACAGCCTCAATTTGCCACTGCTAAGTATTGGTGCTGCTGCCACTGCAGAAGGAGGAGGTGGAAAGACACTGAGGGCTGTACTCGATTCAGATCATCCCCACACTGCATCTTCTCCAGGAATCTCTCTACATATATATATTTTATTAAAATGATGTTCTATTTCAGGCTGCTGCAGGGAGGAACTGGCAATGATTCAGAGCCAAGTTCAAACAGGGAGTTCTGAGGGGTAACAGGTGTCCTGTCAGTGACAGTGGACAAGCCAAGAATGATGGTTCTCTGTGGGGGAGTCCAACAGTGGTACTCCCGGTGTGTGTGGCCCATACATTGGGAGTTTATGAATTGTTTCCAATGCTCAATATACACTTCTGATAAGCCATGTGCAGCATTTTAAAATTTTGCATGTTATTTGTTCTTTATATATTGAAATTATGTATTAAATCTAAAAATATGAGCTTTATATTATTTTTTTATGTCATTTCATAGTAATTATTATTTACCAAGAAATTATTATCTTGGAATGTCATATCTTACAGAAAAGCATTTTGTTTTATTAATTGCATTAGAATCAGATCTATAACCATGTCATTTAAAATTTTGTCAGTTATAGACAGTCATTGTTTTACTCTAATGCATTTGCAAATATGTTACATATGTAGAAAGATCAATGAGAAAAACCTGAATTACTCTAAATTACAGGTTTCTAAGCAGATCATATCTTTGAACTAGATAAAGAGTGATAGAACTCTAAGGAATAACTGAATTCATAGAAATACTGGCAAATATTCAGGATAAATAAAAAGCTTTGTTGTGGGACTTAATGAACTAAGGATAATTATTATTCTTATGACTTTGTGTATATAGGAGGCAACCGATGGATGTTTCTCTCTCATGTTGATGTTTCTCTCTCTCCCTCTACCTTCCTCTCTCTCTAAAATTAAATTTAAAAAAGATAAATAAATAATTGCTGAAGGTGTATAACTTTTTCATTATCAATCACATTCTCTTTTGAAATTTAGAAGAAATGCTATTGCAAAAGGAAAGCGAGGGATGTGTATATATTTAAAAGACGTTAAAATAAAATAGTTTGTCCTAATAAGCTGGTTATTTCTGAATATATAAAAGAATAAGCAAAAAGGGAACTTGTAGAAAGATAGTGGAAAATAAATATTAAAAAGGGAATTTTATATATAAACACCAGAACCTAATTATAGAAATATGCTTACCCCCGAACCCAACAAAGACTACTAGCTATGCTAATTCAGACAGAACTTGAAATGGCTATAAATAACATGGTCTCTATAACTGCTGCTGAGACACAGAAAATGTACTTATGAAATTTAGATGGAATTTTAGATGGTAATTGTAATTTACAGCATTGTGTTTTTACAGCCTTAGCCCTGATTAAAACTTAAGGTTATAGCTTCCAATTGCACAAATAGTGGGAATTAGATTAATAACGGCACCTGAGTGCTTCCAATGGGACATAATAAATAGGAATCCATCTCCAGGTCAAATTATGAAAACTGAAAATGTATAGTGTGCATCTAGTATAACATGTTATTCAAGATGTTATACTATACTAGAGTGTACTATAGTTATACTATAATGTTATACTAGATGCAAAATATAGAAAAGTAAGACAGGCAACAAAACTTGGGTCACGATAGCTTATAAGTTAGAAATGATCCAGAGTGTTTTTCTTAATGCAGGTCCATAAGACCTACTGCCTTCCATTTTCTTACTTTTCACTTTTGAGAACAATTTGGTCATGATTTCCATCCAAGATTATGGTCTTGCCCCATCGCTAGTGGTCCACTGTTCAGCAAGACAAACGCTGACACTGAGACTTTCCAGGAATGAGCCTTCTTAGCACCGTGGGACCCATTATCTAACCAAAAGTTGATCATCAATGCTTCTTTTGGATTGATTTATGACCAAAAGGGGGACTTCTGGACAAAAAGGGGCCACATACTAAACCTGACAAGCTCAGGGGAGACCTGCATGGTGGTCTTACGAACTCAGAGATGAAAAGTAACCACATAGGATGGTCTGAAATTAAAATTTTTTTTTATTCTCACCCAAGAACATTTTTCCATTTTTTGTTCAGACAGAGTGGGAAGGAGAGAGAGGAAGACAGAGAGAGAGAGAGAGAGAGAGAGAGAGAGAGAGAGAGAGAAACATTGACGTGAAAGGATGGCTGTCACCCACACAACCAACCAGGGCTGGGGACAAATTGCAACCAAGGTACATGCCCTTAGCGGGAACTGAACGCGAGTCTCTCTGGACCGCAGGCTGACGCTCTAACTGCTGAGCCAAACTGGCCAGGGCTGAAATTAAAGTTTTTTAACTAAAACAGTTCATGGCAAGTAGTCATGTCCTAGGCTCTCTGTTCTCTTTTTCATCTAGGATAACATAACTGATAACATGCCTTTGGGATAACAAAGTAATTTCCCTTTTTCTGGACGCCTTAAAGTAAGGGCACAGCACCAAAGACCACAAATCCCCTCTTTGTTATTGTTGTTGAATGTTAACCAGGCTGTACCCACCCATGTAAAAGAAGGATGTGTCTATCATTTTACTTTTTATCCAATCCTAGAGGTACCCCCCTCACCTTTGCTTTCTTCCACCTCCCTAATCTATCACTAGTTGATTGAATGTAACCCACTTATGTCTTCTTTTTATTGTAGTGGTCTAAAGGTTGTCATTTTCTGGAGCATTTTCTCAATCCATTGAAGTTTTGCTTAATGGCAATTGTCATCAGTTTGGCTCAAATAAACTTATAAAAATATTCTACAGGTTTGCGAGGTGTGTCTCAGTTAACTGAGTGTTTTAGTAGGATCCCCAGCCAGCGCACACAGGGGCTTGTGGGCTGCATGCCTGGTGGGGGGCATGCAGGGGTCAGCCCGTCAGTGTTTTTCTCTCTTTAACATCAATAAAAACATATTTAAAAAAATTCTCTACAGGCTTAAATATTTCATTGACAACATTTATTGTGACTGGCAGGGATTGCTCCGGAAGAGTGCCCACTGCCGCAGACCTCCCCTCCTGACGGTGGCCAGGACACTGGACTACGCATGTCCCGCCCCACTTCCGGTCCCTTGACCCACCCACCCCACGTTTCCGGATCTTCCCACTCCTCGCTTTGGCGGTGCTGCTCTCAGTTCCGCGGCCTGGCTTCAACAGCGTATTTTGTTTGCGACGTTGTCGTGTAACCACGCGCTTTACGGGTACGGAGCGAGCCGGCGCCAAGGCCACACCCTCCGGGAAGCCTCGCGGAGAGCGAGGTGGATGCGCGGCGGGGCCAGCCCAGCGGCGGCCGGATTTCTCCGCCGCGGAGCCAAGAGGGCCTCCGGAAGCTGCGGTGTCGGCGTCTAGGGACGGCCCGGGAGGCGGCAGCGGCAGCGGCAGAGGCGCAGCGGGCGGCCTCGGGCCGGGGAGCGGAGGTCCGGGGGGCCCCGCGGGCAGGATGAGCCTCACCCCGAAGGAGCTCTCGAGCCTGCTGAGCATCATCTCGGAGGAGGCGGGCGGCGGCAGCACCTTCGAGGGCCTGTCCACCGCCTTCCACCACTACTTCAGCAAGGCCGACCACTTCCGCCTGGGCTCGGTGCTGGTCATGCTGCTGCAGCAGCCGGACCTGCTGCCCAGCGCGGCGCAGCGCCTCACGGCGCTCTACCTGCTGTGGGAGATGTACCGCACCGAGCCGCTGGCCGCCAACCCCTTCGCCGCCAGCTTCGCGCACCTGCTCAACCCCGCGCCGCCCGCCCGCGGCGGCCAGGAGCCCGACCGGCCGCCGCTCTCAGGTACGCCCAGCCCGGGACCTCTGGGGTGGAGCCGCCTCCCAGCGCGCGGCCCGGAGGGGGTGTGGTGACCAGGCCGCGGCCGAAGAGACTCCTGCCGTGGGGCCGCCGTCCGGTCAGGCCGCGCAGTGCGCAGCTCGGCTGTGTGGTCCCCGAAGTGCGGGCGGAGGGCCGCGGCCTTGCATCTCCTGGCGGTGCCTCTGCCCTGCTTTCCCTCAGACGGGCCAACGGGCGGTAGTCAGAACCCGAAGAAGTTGTTGGGCGGAAGCACGCTCAGTAGCGTTTGAAAACTTTGCAGCCACTTGGTGGGCTGTCCGGTGCCCTTGGCCAGTGCGGTGGGCGCAGAGGACAGACGGGAGCCCAGGTCACGCCCGCGTCGGCAGACCACGGCCACGGCCGCTGGGCACGTGTAAAATGTTCAGTAGCGTTTCAGGTGCGTGAGCAGCACTGGGATCAGATCAGTGGGTCCGTGTGAAGCCGCCTCTGGTTTTGAACTCGAGAAGCTTTATGGGACCCGCAGCCAGCAGAGGAGCGGGGATGGCGAGGGTCCCTGGAGCCCTGGACGAGAACAGGGTAGTGGGCAGCGAGGTAGAGGTGGGAAGCAGCTTCATCTCCCAGCACCTCCCTCATGGGAAAAGGCAAATCATTCCGTAGGTGGGGGCCCCTTATACAGGGAGTCAAAAGGTCGAGGCAAGTGAATTGAGGTAACAGCAGGGAGTGTTTGATGGCACAGCAGGGCTGGTCCGTTTTCAGCCAGCCTGTGGCCCTGCCTGGAAACCCTCTGGATCTAGATCTTCTGGTTTGTTTCCTGCACTGCCCACAGAGAGGGGAACCTTTGTGGTGGAGGAGATGCCCTTAGGGTGCAGGTACTGAACCTGGCTTTCAGGGAGTTTGAGAATGCCCAGAAAGTGAATGCAACGTGTGCGAGGGTTCACATCCCACCACCCTAGGGTGCCCTTAGCAGAGGATGATGACGATGGGATTTAGGTCACCAGGCCCTTTGAATTCTTCAGACAGGTTAGACAAAGGAACCATGATTATGTGTTCTAATTCTCAAATGTGATGAGTCTAAACCTAAATCTAGACTGCAGACCGATGCACTGTATACACAAATTTTCTAGGGAAGGAAGCCATGGATTGGTTATTTTATCTCTGGCTCAGTGTTTTAATCTGTAAAAACACAGATAATTCTTAGCTGGTAGAGTTATTATGAGGTAAAGTATCTATAGTAAGTGTTACACATTATTACTTATTATTAAATTGGGTAGGGATGGTGCTTAAATGCACACAGGGAATATGGGTGCCTAGGGTGAGCATCTCATGGGCATTTAAAAGTTTTTCAGATGATTCTGATGCAGAGCAGGGTAAAGAGTGTACCTCACAGTAAATAAGAAGGCTTCCCTGCACTCAAGAAGCTTGTAGGCTGTTTGGGGAGATGATGTAAACACAGTCATCGCACAGCGTGGTAAGGCCTGTACTGGAGGTCAGTTACGGAATGCTCCGGAGCACAGGGAAGCTACCCGTGGGCAACCGGAGATTCTCAAAGGGAGTGATGTTTTTGCTGGATATTGATTAGAGATGGTGGTGAGGATGAAAAGGTGTGGCCCTGCCAGGTTATTCTTAAAGAACTTGGTGTATTGAATGTTTTGAAATGTGGAATCAGGAAATATGAGAGATTTTTTTTCTTTTTTTGCTGCTAGAGTGTAGGATACATGGATTGGAGGGGAAATCAATCTCTTAGGAAAGTGGGTCAGGGTCAGATTATGAAGGGTTTTATAATAGCACAGAAGTTTGGGTTTAATTCTGTGTAAACAGGTTAAGTAATGTAAGCAGATTTGTTCCTAGAAATGGAACCAAATGGTAAGTGGGATTGTGGTGGGTGTGGCAGGAGTCAAAACTGGGTGCTTGGGAAACCAGGCAGGCAAGAGGAGGGGAGAGGGAGTGGCGTGTGGGAACAGGCTGCTTTGGTGGGTGGATGAGGCGTGGTGAGCAGTTGGATTTGGGACAAAAGGGAAGCAGCATTCAGCACTGGAGATTTTCAGTGGCACTGTATTGTGAAGCAGGAGTGGGAAGTATATTTACATCGCCAGTGGATGTTGCCTTGTCTGTTCAACCTCTATACTGTTGCTGGTAGCAGCAGAGAAGAAAAGCATTTTTGAATATTGTATTTAAAAAAATTTTTTTAATCCTCCTGAGGATTTTTTTTTTTTTTCATTTATCTTCAGGTAGAGAGAGAGAGAGAGAGAGAGAGAGAAAGAAACAGAAACATTGATGTGAGAGAGACACATCCAGTGGCTGCCACTCACATGACCCAACCAAGGCCGGGGACAAACTGCAACCGAGGTACGTGGCCTTAGCGGGAACCAAACCCGGGCCTCTCTGGTCCGCGGGCCCATGCTCTAACCGCTGAGTCAAACTGGCCAGGGCAAATGTTGAAGCTTTTAATTTGTTTTTGCTTGTATACATAAGTTTTAGACTTTGCAGGAATTGGGGCATGTTAAAAACAAAATTCTTAATAATTATAAAAATCTTAAGTTTTGTTGATATTGCCACAAATCATAGAATTTCAAATGACAATTACATTTTCATAAATGTATATATTGGGGTAACTGAAACTTAAAATAATTTTGTCTTTAAAAACACATTAAGTTGAGATGGCAAGTAGAAAATGCTAATTTTACCAGATTTGTGTTACTTTTAAAAAATAACCACTGGAGAAATTGTTATACATCTTTGTTTACAGGATTTTTACCTCCTATAACTCCACCAGAAAAGTTTTTTCTTTCCCAGCTAATGCTGGCACCCCCAAGGGAACTCTTCAAAAAGACACCTCGACAGATTGCATTGATGGATGTCGGAAACATGGGCCAGTCTGTGGACATTAGTGGGCTTCAGTTAGCCTTGGCTGGTAAGGAGGAATTGGTGGTTTGGGCATTCTTGTGAGGCAGTATTAGGCCTTTTTTCTTAAGGTACTCCACTTAAAATGAAGGGCTGTAGCTGTGCTAAAAGGTTAGTATTTTCCATGAAAAACAGCTCCAATACTAGATCCTTGCTAATATGGCATATAAGTTTATTTTGAGTTTTTACTTGAATGGATGGCTTTTCCAATTTAGGAAGAATACTGGATAAAATGTAGTCTGTTTTTTAAAAAAAATAGACATGTTCCTCATGTCAGTTTTGCTCAAATTGAGATCACACATTCAATGCAAAACTATGTGTTTTGCAGAAGTAGAAAAACCCATCACAAAATTCATATGGAATCTCTAGGGACACTGAATAGCCAAAACAGTGTTCTCTTGGCACCGTTGTTGAAAATCATTTGACCATATATGGGACGGTTTGTTTCTGGCATCTGCGTTCTGTATCATATCTGTCTTTATTCCAATACCACTCTTTTGGTTTTGGTAGCTTTGTGATAAATTTTGAGATTAGGAAGTGTGAACCTCCACTTTGTTCTTCTGTTTCAAGATTGTTTTGGCACCTAGTGTTACACATATAAGCAAATGAATTGGGTGCTCTTGAAACAAAAGGGTGTTGTGATAGAAAATAGGGGATTCTTGAACTGGGTAATCAGAGCATCTCTGAGGAGTGAAGGAGAAGATGCACCTTTTGCTTGCCTGCTCTAAGCAAAAATACAGATGCTTGGGTCTTATCGCTTGAGAATGATTCATTAGGGAAATTGTAGTATATAGCCAGATTTGTAAACCCTTGACCTTTTGATTAAATGAGCCATCGTATTGATTTTGACTGTGCCCCATCCTTAGACGAAATGCACCTGTGACATTTGGCTGCTTATGTAAGGTGACATCTTTCAGTAAACTACTTTTTCCTTGCAGCATTCTGAACCTCACTTTTTAACTACTGGGAATTAGCAATATAACAGTGGTTATTTTTGAAACCCAGAGAAATCTTTTTAAAACTTTTAAGATCGAAGGTACACAGATGTACTTATTAGCTACCAGTGACAGAGATAAAATTATTATTTCCATAACCGAAGATAGTATGAAGACAGTACAGAGGTGATAAATAATTTCAGTCACCTTACCTTCAGAAGTGATACATATCTTGAGGATTCTAGCTTTGTATTCAGTAACGTGAGAATCGAATCTGACCCCTCAACTTGAGCCAGCCTGTGAGAAAGTTTAAAACTATGTCAGGCTGAGAAGAGAATAATGACTGGATTTAGGATTGAAAATAATGACTAGACTTAGGATTGAGAAGCCCTATCCAAATTGAAGATGTCAAGTCATTCATTTCACAAGTGCAAAAAAAATGACAAGTCCACCTATGTTCTCTGGAACGAGCTGCACAGATCATCTTTGCAGAGGTCTAAAAATCAGATCTTACAGTAGGTTTCATGACCCACCACTATGTGGTAGTGTGTGTGTGTTTATCACATTTTCTTTATCCACTCATCCATTGTTTCTGTATCTTGGCTGTTGTAAATAATGCTGCAGTGAACATAGGGGTGTATGTACTTTTTTAAATCAGTGTTTTGGTTTTCTTTGGATAAATACCCAGAATTAGAATTGCTGGATTTTATGGTAGTTCTATTTTTAATTTTTTGAGGAACCTCCATACTGTTTTCTGTAGTAGCTGCACCAATTTACATTCCCACTAACAGTCCCACTATATTCCCACTAAAAAGGGAACTAATGAAAGTTTCCTTTTTTCTATATCCTTGCCAGCATTTATCATCTTGTCTTTTTAAAAATTATTGTTATTGATATATATATATATATATTTTTAGAGAGAGAGATCAATTTGTTGTTCCACTTATTTATGCATTCATTGGTTGCTTCTTATTTGTGCCCTAACCAGGGATCAAGCCTGCACCTTGGCATATTGGGGTGATGCTCTAACCAGCTGAGCTACCCGACCAGGCTTCATCATTTTGATAATCAGCCATTCTGATAATAGGTGTGAGGTGATATCTCATTGTGGTTTTGATTTGTATTATCTTGATGATTAATGATGTTGAGCATCTTTTCACGGCCATCTGTATGTTCTCTTTGGGAAAATGTATATTCAGACCTTCTGCCCATTTTTTAATTGGGTTGTTCTTTGATACTGAGTTGTGAGCGTATATTCCGTAGAGTGGAATACCAGGAGTTTCATCTGCTCTACTGTGTGGACATAATGCTGCTGCGAACGGTTGGTATACTCCAGTGCACACGCAGAGTTTCTTCTCGTTGGGAAGATAAGCACGTGTGAAAGTTTATCAAGTGATGGAAAATTATTTTCCAAAGTTGCTGTGACAATTTTCATTCCCATTAGCAGTGTGCAAGTCACCTGACAACCTCCTCTGCATTCGATAATATTAGGCTTTTAATTTTTGTCAATCTTGTGGGTGTGTAATAATACCTTGTGTTTTAACTGATTTCTCCCTGGTTCCTAATGGGATTGAACATTATTTTCAGAAGTTTATTGGCCATTCAGGCTTTATGGTGTTTTTTTTTTTTTATTTCTAATCCTCACCCGAGGATATGTTTTTATTTTATTATTTATTTTATTGTTGAAAGTATTACCCTCATTGGCCCCCTCCTCCCCGCTCCCACTCCCTTCCTGCTTTCTCCAACCATTTTTATTGATTTGAGAGAGAGAGAGAAACATCGATATGCAAGAAAAACATTGATTGGTTGCTTCCTGGATGTGCTCTGACCAGGGAATTGAGCCCAAATCCTAGGTATGTGCTCTGATTGGGAATTGCACCCATGACCTTTTGGTGTATAGGACAACACTCCAACTGACTGAGTCACACCCGCTAGGGCCAGCTTTTTATTTTTAAAAAATAAAATGCTTGTTGAAGTCATTAGACTATTTTTATTTTTCCTTTTTTTAAAAATTGATTTGTAGGAGTTTTGAAAAAATATATACATATTCTGAATCTGGTCCTTTGCTATGTGTTGCAGATAGCTTTCCCCAGTTAGTAGCTTGTCTTTTTACTCTCCTTGTGGTGCCCTCAATTTTAAAATATCTCCTATTTTAATCTTTCAGAACGCCAGTCTGAATTGCCAACCCAAAGTAAGGCTAGCTTTCCTAGTATTCTCAGTGACCCAGACCCGGATTCTTCTAATTCTGGATTTGACAGCTCAGTTGCCTCTCAGATCACGGAAGCTTTAGTCAGTGGACCAAAGCCACCTATTGAAAGTAGGTATATATTTTATATCTTGGTTTTATCTTATCAGCATTCGAGACGGTTTTCTGAAACATTATTTTTGTTGCCACTTAAAACTAGAATTTAATGAGAAACTTCTTAGTATAGTGTCTAGAACATAGTGGAGACAGTTGGTAAAAGTTATCTTTAATAAAATTACATACCAAATTTTTTATTACATATCCACTATTAGTGTATCTAAAGATATAAATTCTCTGGTTTTACTGAAATGAGTCTGTTTTTGTAGCTTATTACCTGTTTTATACCTTTTATTAATTTTATCACTATCATTACTTTCTCCATTGTAAAGTTTTACTGGTCTTACGGCTCTTAATTTAATTCAAATAAAACATCTATAGAACTTGAAATATAGCTGCATCTTTTGGTTCTGTAGGTTTCTATGTGGTTTAAATAAAGGGGTAAGAATATGTTCCCCAGATTGTAATGTCCCCATGAGTTTAAAATTTACACTGACTTTCTATGCCATTTATAGTAAATCTTTGGCATAAATGGGTTTAATATTGAAGTCTCAGCTGGTCCCATATGTGCCTGAAGGTCCACGTATAACTGGTTATCTGACAGTCGCGCAGGCACAGCTTTGCCTGCATAGGTCACCAGAAAGGCAGGCAGTGGAAGCAAATCTGCCAGGGCTGTGTTAGGAAACACCAAGCATCCCTGCGTCACAGGACTTGATCATATAAGCATTGTGCGTCTCATGAAGTGCTAAAAATTCTGATTCTTTTTGTAAATGGTCTTAAAAGAGATTCAGGTGCTAGCTCTGGTGATGTAAGTGAAGAGATAGTATAAAGATAGGTGTTAATTCTTAGCCAGAAAACAGACATAAACTAGAGTATGATCTCAAATTTGGCAGAGGCTAGGATCCATGATAGGAATAAGCCATCTTAGGCCCTGTGTGGAAGCCAGACATTTGAAATTTGTTTAGCAGAAGTCAGCCAGTGTTATTGTAGTGGGCTTCTAACTTAGAAGATCAGTTTTGTTTTATGAGATAGTTGAAGTATTGAGTCACTTCATTTTCCTGTTGTACTTTTATTGTTTTATGAAAATTGGTATGGTATTTGTGAATTTATGGAAATCTTCAGATTCCTTTGAAAATGTCAAGTCAGCCACACATTTTTCCCTCTGACATTTCATCTCCATGTAATTTGCCACTTCAGGGTTGTAAGATGTAGAGGTGGAACTACTATAAATCATAGTGGTCTCTGAATAAAAGAGTAACTAAGAATAGAATGAGTGAGATCAAATAGTATTTCATTTTTCCCTTCAAACGATTTTTACCAATAGAGTAGTTTGTATCTTTTTGCCATGGAGGGTAATCATGCTTGAGTGGCAAGTTGTTGGGTCATGGTAATGCCTTCCTCTCCTCCAAAAATACGTAGATTTGGTCTCTGGCATAATAATGTTATATGTGTTTTATTTTCTTTCTTGCATTATGAATAAAATCCTGACTTTCTACATCACTTCTGCTTCTGGCTTTGAAGTCTCAGTTTTATCATGTTATCCTTATTAAAAGGGTGTTTGTGTACTTCATTAAGTAAAACATGTGAGATGTATACAGATGTGCACAGGTGTTAAGAAACAACCTCATGTCACTTTCACTGACAGGCCACTTTCGGCCCGAGTTCATTCGCCCACCACCTCCACTGCACGTGTGTGAGGACGAGCTGGCCTGGCTGAACCCAGCAGAGCCTGACCACTCGGTTCAGTGGGATAAGTCGATGTGTGTGAAGAACAGCACGGGTGTGGAGATCAAGCGGATAATGGCCAAAGCTTTCAAAAGCCCCTTATCTTCTCCTCAGCAAACACAGGTAAACCTTTTCTTTAATCCATCACGTGTTTATTTTTGTTTTTCATAATATGATAAATGACCAATAAAATGATATTGTTAACATGAGCCAGCAGTAGGGAATTTTTTGGATCTTAGAAGCTCTGTTCTGCCCCGTCCACTGTGGTGGGGCTAGAAGTCTGATGACTAAAAATGTATACCAACATTTGTTTGGGATCAGTTTGCCTCTGGGAGAGGAGGGATAGGATGGGTCTCAGTGAAACCAAGTGGGTCCTGGTTTGCTGTTTTTCAGAATTGAAGAATGAGTTCATGACAAAGGGGCATATGAAAGAAAGTTTAAAGATAGACAGACTTCCGCCCTGGCCGGTTTTGCTCAGCGGTTAGAGCGTCGGCCTGCGGTCCGGAGAGACCCAGGATCGGTTCCCGCTAAGGGCACGTACTTCGGTTGCAGTTTGTTCCCGGCCCTGGTTGGTTGTGCGGGTGGCAGCTACTCGATGTGTCCCTTTCACGTCGATGTTTCTCTCTCTCTCTCTCCCTCCCACTCTTATCTGTACAAAAATTGGAAAAATGTCCTCGGGTGAGGATAAAAAATAAATAAATAAATAAAGATAGACAGACTTCCCACAGTGGGAAGGGGACCCAAGTGGGTTACTGGTGAGGCTCTGTTGTCTAGGGGTAGGTATATGCCTTGCTAGCCTCTGGTCCTTTCAAGGAATTTTGCCTTAGCAACATCCATGCATTTTAAAGCTTGGTCCCCCCCGCCCCCCCCCCCCCCCCCCGTGGGTTTAGCCCTAGGTTGCCTAGCTCTAAATTCATATTACCCTTCTGGAAAAAGCATATGTGGGCATCTCTGATTAAAAAAAAAAAAAAAAAAGCTCGCTTTATCAGGTGAATTGGGCAGATTTGATTAGCAAAGACTTAATATTGTCCCATACATTCCCTTTTTGGAAATGGACAGATTCTGATTTAAAAACAGACATCGATTAGCTATTCCTGACATTTGTACAGAAGCTTTACTCCAGGGAGGAGTCAACTTAGTTGTGTGTGGTTAAGAACAAGTAAAGTAGCCCCAGGTATCTATAGGGGCCTTGGTGGCTTCCCTTTTTATGATAATTTCAACTTCTCCCAGACTGTTAGTGCCGAGGAGGGGAAATACCCTTGGAGTAACCCTATACCTTTGGTTTCTTTTCTAAATCAAGTTTTGGTTTCCTGTAATCCTTTTTAAGGTAACATAGTTTTCTGCAATAGAAACACAATCTAGTTTCACAGCAGAACTCACTCAGCAGTCCTGTGGCCTTGCTCCCAGGAACCAGTAGGTATATTCATTGGACTAGGTCAGAATCGCCAGCACTATATTCTTTAACAGTAAATAAAATTCATTTGCAAACCCATCAGGGTCCCAGAGAGAGGAACTAGACATAGCTGTTCCCTTTTACCTGAAACCAGCCTTTCTGGTTTTGTTGTTGTTGTTATGTAATTGTGTTCCTTCCATGAACTTCTAATTTGAAATCAAGATAAGCTTTTCATTTCTATAAATCAAGAGTGTTAATGGGGGCTGGGAATTCCTGGCCCAGGAGGCACAATTTCCCATTTTGATTTTAGTTTTATTTTGAGATCTGTAGAGTCCAAATAAACCTCCAGATCTATCTATTGTGCATTGGGTTCTGCCAGTGTGCTGAGCCCCAAGTCCTCGCAGACCTCCTCACGTGTCTCAGCCTCCCTTTCCCATACCTTACTGTCTAACCTGCCTCGATCTCCTCATTTGATTGGCACTTACCTCCTGCTGTGTACCAGCTAGACGTATGTAGATACGTTATGTTGAAGCTGGACAGTAACTCTCCCGAAGGGAAGTGGATTTATTAACATTTTATGGAGGAGATAAAAAGCTCAGGTAAGGGAAACTAGCCCCCATCACACAGCTGCTTAGTAGTGGATCTGAGATTCATAATAGCCCCCACTGCCCAACTAGAAGACTCCTTGGGGGAAAGGCAAGGGTGGTTTCTGGTTGGAGAGTTTTATTCAGATTGCATCCTTTTCCATTAGAACTTGTCAGGAGATGCTGACATTTCCAGTGCAGCTTACCACCAAAATATTTTCAAAGTCAAGCAAGTAGCTGTTTGGAGTTCACTTGACTTACTAGGTCATCCTGAAACACAATCCACTGTGGTACATACAAGTAGACAGGAGAACGAACATAGAACATTTTAAAGAATTATTTGGCAGAAAATAAGTTGCTTTTGAGGATACCTATTTGAGTTACTCACCCTACAAATGGATGAGTTGCAGGACAGACCTCCCCCTTACCATCCTGCTCCCTCCTGGATCTGGGTTGCACTATTGTTTCGGATATTCCTCAGTTCTCTATGGTCTGCGTTTTTTGGGAGAACTAGTTGGTAATTAAAATTAATTTTGGTTGTAACAGATGACAGAAAAATAAACCCACAATGGACTCAAGAACAGTATTACAATCCAGACAATAGTTCGTTCAACGAGACAATATTGAGTCTGGTTTAATGCCAAGGAGGAATCACTGGCATGTTTATAAACTGTCTTAAAGGTGTTTATAGTGCCCTGGCTGGGTGGCTCAGTTGGTTGGAGTGTTGTCCGTACACCAAAAAGGTTGCAGGTTTGATTACCAATCAGAGCAACACCTAAGCTGCTGGTTCAGTCTCCAGTCAGGGCACCCATGGATGTTCTCTCTCGCCCTTCCTCTCTCTGAAAGTCAATATAACATATCCTTGGGTGAGGATTAAAATAATAATGATAAAGTAAAGGTGTTTATATTTTAATACCTTTTTTTTAATCCTCACCCGAGGACATTTTGCATTTATCTTCAGATAGAGGGGGAGGGAGAGAGGGAGGAAGAGAGAGAGAAACATTGACTGGTTGCCACCCACACGACCCCAGCCGGGGCCAGGGACAAACTGCAACTGAGGTACGTGCCCTTAGCGGGAACCGAACCCGAGACTCGCTGGCCTGCGGGCAGGTGCTCTAACCACTGAGCAGGCTGGCCAGGGCTATATTTTAATATCTTTATAATTCAAGTATAAATTGAAAATTAAGTCATTATGATCATGAGAGTCAGGGAAGAAATTTATGAAGTTGGTTCAATGCAGGTAATTTTATAGCTTTTTTATAAAATACATATTTTTATATGCAGGAAAGAAAATGTCTATTTTGACTCAAGAACCTCTTTCTTTTTTTAAAAAATTTAATTGTATTTAGCTTCTTGGTGAGTTGGAAAAAGATCCCAAACTTGTCTATCATATTGGCCTCACTCCAGCCAAACTTCCTGACCTAGTGGAAAACAACCCTCTAGTCGCCATAGAAATGCTGCTGAAGTTAATGCAGTCAAGCCAGATCACCGAGTACTTTTCAGTCTTGGTCAATATGGATATGTCTTTACATTCCATGGAAGTTGTAAATCGGTAAGTTCCTACACTTGATCAAATGTTGTATAGATCCTGATTACATGGCCAGGAGGGAAAAACTAGTAACACGTTTTTTCCGATCTCGTTAGCCTGAGAAACCCCAATAAATAAATAAATAAGTAAATAAATAAATAATCTGAGCCCTAGTGCTCAGTGTATGTGAATTTAGCATCCACAAGAAGGAGCCCAGAGGGTACGATTTAAAATATTTAGCATTAATAGACACACAATTGCTGAAATTTCTTTCTTTCTATATAGCTGTATATTCTTTTCCTCTACACAAGTATAGATGTTACGTTATTTTTGGTTAGTGACTAATAACTATATCATGGGAAAGTGGGTTTTAAGAGCTGCAAGAATTGTAGGAATGTCACCCTAGAAGTCCTGGCACTGTCTTCCCGACCCGACTTCTCCTTCCTCTGTTGTCACCCACTGTCAGAAACGATAGTGCATTTCCTTCCTGACTTTTATTTTTTTTTATTTTTTATTTCATTTTATTTTATTTTTATTTTATTTTATTTTATGGTCTGCAGGATGGGGTGGGAAGGGAGGAGGTCATAGCTAGAAAAAAGCTCCTCAGATGTGCTCAACATTGCAGAGCCCTGAGCCCACACATAGATGCTGAGATCACACCCGGAAGCTGACACTGGCCTCCTTCCTGATATTTTTTACTGTTTCCCTAAAAACATGTTTTAGGTAAATTGTGGCTTTAATAAGCTTGGGGGGGTTAGCTTGGGAGCCTGCTATTTTATGAAGCTGTTTATATATAAGGTGGCCGACCATATGTCCAGGTTTGTCTGAGGCAGTCCCAACTTAGGCTTACTTTGGCCTCCTTTTATATGGTATCCTGTTGTGGGTGCTAAATCATATTTATATGCTCCTTTTGCTACATGGGGAAATCCATTCTAAGGGTCAGGCAACTGAAGTTCAATTATGGCACATTTTTTAATGTTTTTTTCTAAGTTGGGGATTATTATTTTTGAACCTACTTGAAGCTGTATTAAAGAATATGTCAAATTACTCAGCTGGTGAAAAAAGCCTAGCTATACCAGGTGATCCCAAGTATAAGAGAGTGGTTCTTTTTTGGGTGGGAAAGGAAGAGGTTTTCAACTTTATTTCCTCACTGGCAAAACTGGCCAGCTGCTTGTTTAGAACATGCTGCTTCACTCCTGTCTTCTTGTTGAAGCCCTTTCCCACGCTGCGGAGACTCCCTCTCCTTCTAGGGACCACATCCTGTCAAGCCCTTTGGGTCGGCCGAGTTCCTAGAGCTCACTTCTTCCCCTCACCACTTTCTTGTAGAAGTTATTGTCTGTCTGACATTTCGCATTTAGTCCAAGAATGACTGTGTCTTTGTAGTAGTAATTTCAAGGACAAGATCTGCTCTTTGTGGGTCCCCCCACCCCTGTAGTGCGTCACCCTTCCGTGTGAAACAACCTGTGTGACCACAGCAGCTCATGGCAGTATTTCCTTGGAACACCAGTTCCTCAGTGCCTGATGGCGTCAAGTTCTAGGCTCAGAGTGTAGTTTCTTCTGGATTTTCTTACTGGATATATAATATGCATGCCTTTCTATGAACATGGAATTTCCACCCTTTTTATTTTTCCTTAAAACATTCCATAGAATCCGCCCTGGGCGGTTTGGCTCAGTGATTAGCCTCAGCCCGCGGACCAATGAGTCCCGGGTTCGATTCTGGTCAAGAGCACGTACCTTGGTTGTGGTTCGTCCCCGGCCCTGGTTGGGTCATGCAGGAGGCAACCAGTCGATTATGGCTCTATCACATCAATGTTTCTCTGTCTCTCTCCCCCCCCTTCCACTCTATCTGATGATAAATAGAAAAATATCCTCGGATGAGGAATAAAAAACAAAAACATTCCATAGAATCCTTTGAAAAATACCAGCCTCCCCTCTTGAGCCTCTAACCTGGTCTGCCACCATATGTGCCTGTCAACACCCGCCTTTCCCACCTGTTCCTGAGCCGGCTTCGCTGATCCCTGCTTCCAGCCTTCACTCAGATCATCTGTTTCTCTACTCAGGTGTCAGTTTACGTCATTTGCCCTTTTAAGACTTTTCCCAATTCTTTTCACTTACATTATTGCTCTTCATTTTAGCATTTAGTTTTATATTGTACTTAGTTATTAAACTTACACCCCTTCACACACACTCGTTGCACAGTACTTGTATGTGGTCGGCTTTAGTAAAGGAACCGTCATTGCCAAGATGAGTAGTTTGGAATCACTGATTGTGATTCAGCCAGAACACAGGAGACATGGTGCTCAAAGACTGGGTTGCTTAACGAGAAATCACAATGCATAATGCTAAGTGTAGATGTGAAAATGGAAGTGTCACTTAATGAATGGGGGCTGCTCTTAGGTTTATTTGCATAAGTTTATATAAAACTAGGTAATTGGTCATGTATCAGAAATTTACACTGAATGACCAAAGGAAACAATATTTTATGGTTAACAATGTTTTTTTAATGTTAGCAAATAAAATGAATAGCCTTAACTTTTCTAATTTTATGAAACAGACTAACTACAGCTGTTGACCTACCTCCTGAATTTATTCACCTTTATATATCAAATTGCATCTCCACTTGTGAACAAATTAAGGATAAATATATGCAGGTAAGTAGTAGAAATTTGAGTAAATTTTATGAACTGCCGAGACAATGGGCACACTAAATACTTTTTTTCTTTCAGAATCGCTTGGTGCGTCTTGTGTGCGTCTTTCTCCAATCCTTGATCCGTAACAAGATCATCAATGTGCAGGACTTGTTTATAGAAGTGCAGGCATTCTGTATCGAGTTCAGTAGGATACGAGAAGCTGCTGGCCTTTTCCGGCTGTTGAAGACACTGGATACTGGGGAAACACCTTCTGACACCAAAATGTCAAAATAATACCTCATCACAACCACCCCATTTATTGTTCAGCTGTACTGTGATTTGACTTTTAAAACTGTTAAAAACCTGAGTGGATTATTTGTTGTAAAACACATAAACAACACTTTAACTATTTAAAGCAAAGTTTTACTTTCCTGGCTGACTTTCCTTTAGAAGAATTTTTGGTAAGAACTTAGAAAAATGTCTTGAGGTGTCTTAAACAGAAGGAATGGTTATCCAAAAAATGCTTATTGCAAAAAAGTAGATGAGGTCCTTAGCACAAGGTACCTGTTTTTGTTAAAACAAATGATAAGCTTCTGATTAAGTCAAGAATCCAGTTTTCCTAATGTTTCAATGTTAAATATATTTAATGAGTAAATGAAGACATTAAGAATTTGTTGTACTGCCCTTGAGGTGAAATCAGTTTAATGTTTTTGAATCAAGTGGCAAACAGAAGTTTGATCCTTGAACCCATTACACACGTAACTCTTAACTTCTCATTAAGCAGAATTGAACCTAGGACATACCCGCAACTATCCTTTCTTGTTATGAGGACTTAATAGATAACAAGAATAAAGGCATTTCTTGGACCTCTCATAAACATGGGAACTCTTAGAAACCTTTGTCAGGGCTATAATAGCTGGTAGTTTTCTGTTTTTGTTTTCTCGAGATATTTATTTGTTCAGTTATTAGTCTAAGATAGTCACCTTTTGTTTTAAGAAAACGTCAGTCCATGTTTGGGAAGTGACATCATCACTGAGGAACTGCATATGGAGCTGCTTGCTGAGCGGGGTCTGCCCCTCTGCCTGGGCGGGCAGGTGCCCTGCTTGAGAAGTTGGAGAGCACGAGGGCATCATGTGGGCTGTTACCCCTTACTGAACTTTGGACAGCAGTGCCTTACATTAAAGGTTTTTTTTATAAATTCTATATTATCTGAATGTATTTTTTTCTTGAAGAAATTCTTAATGTACTGTGGTCTTTTCAAAGCATACACTTTATAGGGAAATAACCTGTTCAACAGGAATTACCTTCCAGTCCAATCCCCAGCAAAAGTTCAAGAGAATCAAGCCTAGTGGTTTGAAGTACAAGTTTCAATCTTGCAGTATTGACAAGAGTAGTACTCCTAGATGTATAGTAAAATTAGGTATCCTTATGGAACGAAGGTACTTATAAATATATTTGCTTAAGGACCCAAGCTGATGTAACAAGAGCACCTCCAGACATCTAAAATGATGGCAACAAACTTGATTTCCCTCAGTCCCTAAAAGTGGGCATAACTGTTTTGCATATTTACATTGGGGGAAATAAAAGTACATTATTCAAATGCTTTTTGGAATGGCAGTGTCAGCCACTACCCCTGCTGGGAGCACCTGCCTCAGGCTGCAGGCTGCTGCTGCTGATGGCAGGACCCCTGCCTGGGCGGGGCTGACCACAGTTCTCTCTCTCAGGCATAGCAGCATAGCACGGCCCTGCGCTTAGACTCTGTTCTTGGGGCCACTTTAAACTGAAATCACTGATGACAAAAAGTATACAATTTCAGAAAATGTGACACTAACTAGACCATGAAAAGGACACATGTTGACAGTTTGAGAACAAACAAGAATCCTGTTAAACTTCAACTGGGAACATGCATGTTGGGCAACTCAAAATTCCCAATGCTCTGCATGTCCACAGACTACGGCAGGAGTGCTGCCCATATGGGCATCAGGGACAGATTTCAGCAAGTGAGTGTGCAGACAGGCTCTGCGGATACAGGGATCATTTCAACATCACAGGATTGGTGTTTACCTGAATGAGGAAAGACACTTATTAATAGCTTACAAAGAATAGTGTATTTGGAGAACATACTATATAAGCCTGAGTCAAGATTTACATTTAGAACACCAGCAAAAGGGTCTTCATGAAACAAGTTTAGAAGCAGAGGAAAGTTTACTTGAAATATAAGAAACTATAACTATGGGATTTGTCTTCATGGGAGAGAAGGAGGAAGTGAGAGAAACATCGATGTGAGAGAGACACATTGAGTGGTTGCCACCCACATGACCCCAACCAAGGCAGGGGACAAATTGCAACCGAGCTACATGCCCTTAGCGGGAACTGAACCCGGGACTCTCCAGTCCTTGGGCCGAAGCTCTAACTACTGAGCCAAACTGGCCAGGGCTATAACCCTGGGATTTAATAACTGCAATCAACACATTTTTTTTTGCTTTTGTTTTTTACTTTTATTTTTTCATGCAATCAATTTTTAAGTGCACTCAAGTTCAATTTAACCATTATCTTAAAAAAACACACACCTTGAATTCTCTAGTTTCAATTTTTTTTTCTTTTATTGATTTTACAGAGAGGAAATGAGAGGGAAAGATAGAAACACTGATGAGAAAGAACACTGAATGGCAGCCTCCTGCATGCTCCACAATGGGGATTGGGCCCACAACCTGGGCATGTGTCCTGACCGGGAATGGAACCGGCCACTTCTTGGTTGATGCTCAACTACTGAGTCACATTGGCCGGACTAGTTTCAATTTCCTTAATATCTTCAAACCACCTATTGAAAAGAAGGCAACACTAAGTAACAGTAGAAAGAAGTTACTTTAAAAAGAATATCTGAGATCCTAACATATATCTATTTCAAATAATTTTAACAGTTTATTATTCACTTAAAACAACCTTAAGAAATTGTTATCACTGCCCTGGTCGGTTTGGCTCCGCAGTTGGAGTGTCGGCCTGTGGTCCAGAGAGACCCAGGTTTGGTTCCTGCTAAGGGCACGTACCCCAGTTGCAGTTTGTCTCTGGTCCTGGTTGGTCCTGCGGGTGGCAGCCACTTGATGTGTCCCTTTCACGTTGATGTTTCTCTCTCTCTCTCCCTCCCACTCTATCTGAACAAAAAAATGGAAAAATGTCCTCGGGTGAGGATAAAAATATAAAAGAAAAAAGAAATTATATCACTCACTTTTTGTTGTTAGAGAGTACATACATACTTTTCACATACTTTTAGGCAGCATATACTGTATTATACATTCTGTAATGACTCACCTGCCCATGGAGAACAAGGGATCACATACCAACAGGGTGGGTCAAAAGTAGGTTTACATATCATTCTAAATTGGCGGTGGAGTAAATGGAAGTGACACAGACCATGTCCCAGGACCGAACTGGAATTACAACTAAAATAAAGACAAATCGTTGGGGAAAAAACCCCAGAAAGACATCTGGAGAGAACCCACACAACCAGGGACAGAAATAGGACACTGAATTGAGGCTGGAATGGCAGAGGCATGAGAGGGTAGGCTGGGAGCCCTTGGACAGCAGCTGTTTTGGCTGTGAGCCGCTCCCTCAGGGTTAAATTCCCAAGCTGGCTCCACAGCGCAGAAGGCTGGGACAGAGCACTAAATCAGCAACAGCTACTCACCCTGGGCTCCAGCAGAAGGAGGGCCAACTGGACTGGAACTGTATGAAAAGACTCAGGAGTTTGGACAGCTAGGAGGGCACTGGGAGTTTTGTGCTGCATCACTCCCTCACAGGACAATAGCCATCTTACTCAAAAAGCCCATCCCAGAGCCCTGGGGAGAAGCAATAGTCTCTCCATCAGGAATTTACCACCACCCAGTCAGGCTAGAAAATGCAAATTGAGGCTCATTAACATCTAAAGTCTGATAGCAAGCAAGTGCCCCACCTGCTGAAAATCCTCTTACCTTGAACACCTGAGGGATTTTTTTTTTCATTCAGCTGAGGACTACAATCCGAAGCTCATCAAGTAATTGAGACTAAGAGCCAGCAGGCAAAAGCTAGAGGAAAAGTGAACGTTTGATTGGCCTGAAAAATCTACCCAGAAAAGTAGAACGTGACAGTGGTGTTTAATGTGGGTCCTCCCACACTCATCCAAACCCAATAGAGGGAGCTACAACTAGTGGAACACCAACACCCACAGGGAAAATTCGGCAGGCTCCAAAACCCACTGAGACAAGCAAAATGGTGAAACACAGAAACAAATCCCAAGTGAGAGAACAAGAGAATTTTACAGAAGATGATAAAATGAAATGCAGTCAAGCAAGTTATCAGAGAGTTAAGAGTAATGATAATGACAAACCTCAACAGCATGAGTAAAGAGCTCAACAACATGAGTAAAGATACAGAAACACTGAAAATCAACCAACTAGCAATGAAAAACCACACTGGAAGGAATAACCAGCAGAGCAGAGGTGGCCAAGGAAAGGATCAGTGAATTAGAGGACAGGATTGAAAATAAATCACCCAATGAGAGAATCAGAAAGTAAAAACAAGTAAAAAACAGGAAGAGAGACTAAGAGAACTGTGGGGCAAAATGAAACATAACAACATCTACAACTTAGGAGGTCCAGAAGAAGAAAATGAGCAAGGGTTAGAGAATATATTTCAAGAAATAGTGACAGAAAATTTCCTAACTTGGTGAAGGAAAAAGGCACACAAGTGGAAGAAGCGCCCTACGTAAGAGGAACCCAAAGAGGCCCACACCAAGACACATACTTAAAATGCCAAAAAATTAAACACAGAGAAAATCCCAAAGGCAGCAAGAGATAAGCAACAGGTTACCTACAAAGGAACCCTCATAAGGCTATCAGCTGATGTCTCAATAGAAACACTACAGGCCAAAAGGGAATGGCATGAAGTAATGAAGGTCATGAAAAACAAGGATCTGAATCCAAGACTACTTTAGACGGCAAGGCTATCATTCAAAATAGGTCAACTAAAGAGCTTCCCAGACAAAAAAAAGGCTAAGGGAATATATTAGCACCAGACCAGCACTGCAAGAAATTATGAAAGGACTGCTGTAATACGCAGAAGAAATAGGAAGAGAAATACAACCATAATAATTTAAAAAGGCAATAAATAAGTACATATAATACTAACCTTAAATATAAATGGATTAAACACTCCAATAAAAAGATACAGAATAGCTGAATGGATAAGAAAGCATAATGCATATGTATGTTTTTTACAAGAGACCTACCTCAAAACAAAAGAGTCACATAGGTTGAAAGTAAAGGGATGAGAAAAAAATCTTCCAAGCAAGGGAAAAGGAAAAACGAGCTGGGGTAGCAATACTCGTATCCAATAAAATAGACTTCAAATTGAAGGCCATAACTAGAGACAAAGAAGGCCATTAC